AACAGTGAAAGGACAGCAAACTCACAGTTATTAACAACCACACCTAAAACAAAAGCAAACTAAAAGGACAGCTAGATTAGGAGTGGAAACATAGAAATAAAGATCTCAAGGAGGGTTAGCAACAGGGGAGTGGGAGGATGAGAAGGGGGGAGAAGGTACAGAAAATAAGTAGCATAGACAGTAGATAGAAAATTGATGGGGGGCAAGAATAGTATGGGAAATATAGAATCTAAAGAACTTGAGACACATGGTCATAAACTAAAGGGGGGGTAATGGTGGGGACAGGGGGGTAGTGTGGAGGGGAATGAAGGGGGGGAATAGAACAACCGTAATGGCATAATCAATTAAAAAAAAAAAGAATTGAAGAGCAGATAAAGAGCTTCCCAGATCAGAAAAAATGAAAGGCATTCATCACTGCCAAACCATGATTATATGAAATGTTAAAAGGACTTATTTAAGAAAAAAAAAATCAAAACTATGAAGAATAAAATGGCAAAAAATACAAATCAATCAGCAATTGAATCTAAAACACAAACTAAGCAAACAAGAAGAACAGAGACAGAATCATGTATACTGAGAGCATTATAATGGTTGCCAGATGGGAGGGGGTATGGGGAAATGGGTGAAGGGGTGAGGCGATTCAAAAGTACAAACAAGTTGTTACAGAATAGCCATGAGGATATAAAGTACAGTATAGGAAATAGAGTAGACAAAAAACTTATATTCGTGACCCATGGACATGAACAATGGTGGGGGAATTGCCTCGGAATGGGAGGTATTGGGTGAGGGTGGGCAAAGGGGGAAAATCAGGATAAGTGTCATAGCATAATCAATGAACTATAATTTAAAAAATGCACTAATTCCCCCATATATGGCTTTCAAGCAAAAAAACTTTATTTTTTTCTTTTCTCAAAGACTGTAATATTATTTTTTCTTTTTCTTCTATTTTTTGTGTGGTATTTTCTCATACTCTTATGCTACTCCTATGTTTGATACTGCATTGTTCCCTTGTATTTTTCTTATTTTTGTTAGTCTCTCTCTTTCTTTGTTCCCATTTGTCTCTTTCCTCTTTTCCCATTTTCCTCTGCAAGTTCAGTAGTCATATTAGTTCTCATCCATTTTCTCCTTTTATAATCACTTTTCTGTCCTTTGGTCTTCTTTTACTCTATTTCTTTTTCTCCCTTTTATCTACTATTTCATTTATTTTTCCACATTTATTGTTCTTTGCTCTTTTGTCGTTGATATTGCTGTATAGTTTGCAAATGCAAAATGCATTTGCTTGCATTTTGTTTTTTGTGTTGTTTTGTCTCCTGCTGTCAGTACCTGAAAAACAGTGTACAAAACATGGTAGAGAGAGAGTCTCACAGACAGATAACTGGAGGGGAGATACAACCAATGAGTGGCCCAACAGAAATCAGGGCCCAAATATTACAGAAGAGTCCATATAACACACAAAGAGAGCATTCCTAGAGCATCAGATTAGGGGACCAAGGAGACTGGAACCCTGGGCACCACAGGACTCCTGACTGCTACACAAGGCTACCCCACAAGCCAGGGAGTCAAAGCAGATTAATACATAGAAACAAACAAAAAAGATACAGCCAAAATGGGGAGACAAAAATCACAACCTCCAAATGAAAGAAAAGTAGGAATCCCTCAAAAAAGGGCTAATTGAAATTGAGGCTAACAAATTATGAGGCACAGAGTTCAAATTGATGGTTATAAGGATGCTCCAGGAACTTAAAGAGAACTATATCAGCATGCCAAATGATATAAAAGCTATGAATAAGAACCAGACAAAAAATAAAGAATACAGTATCCGAAATGAAGACTACACTAGAAGAAATTAAAAGCAGGCTAGATGAAGCAGAGGACTGAACCAGCAATTTGGAAAACAAGGTGGAAAAAAACACCCAGTCAAAGAAACAAAACAAAACAAAAAAACCCTTAGAATGAGGATAGTCTATGCAAGCTTTGGGGCAATATGAAACATAACACTATTTGCATCATAAGGATTCAGAAGAAGAAATGGAGTAAGGGATAGAAAACCTGTTGAAGAAATAATGAAAGAAAACTTTCTTAACTTGGTGAAGGAAAAAAGTCATGCAAGTTCAGGGAGCACAGATTGTCACACTCAAGATGAACCCACAGATGCCTGACCCAAGGCACATCACAATTAAAATGGTGAAGTTTAAAAAGATAGAATCTGAAAGGTAGCAAGAAATAAATGGTTAGTTAAAAGGGATCTCTAATGAGCCTGTCAGCTGATTTCTCAAGAGAAACACTATAGGCCAGGGGAATTGGCATGAAATATTCCAAGTAATAAGCAGCAAGGACCCCAACCAAAACTACTCTATCCAGAAAGGTTCTCATTTAAAATGGAAGGTGAAATAAAGAGCTTCCCAGAGGGGGAAAAAAAAGAGTTGAAGGAGTACAATTCCACCAAACCAGCATTGCAAGAGATGCTGAAGGGATTGCTTTAAGAAGAAGAAATAGAGCACTGGCTGGTGTAGCTCAATGGATTGAGCATGGGCCTGTGAACCAAAAGATTGTGGTTCGATTCCCCATCAGGGCACATGCCTGGGTTACAGGCCAGTTCCCAGCAGGGCCCAGTTCCCAGCAGGGGATGCACCAGAAGCAACCATACATTGATATTTATCTCCTTCTCTCCTTCACTTCCCTTCTAAAGATAAATAAATAAAATTAAATATATATATATAAAACATTTAAAAAATAAATAAATCAACAAACAACAATTGCTGGTGAGTACGTGAAGAAAAGGGAACCCTAGTTCATTGTTGGTGGGAATGCAGACTGGTACAGCCACTGTGGAAAACAGTATGGACTTTCCTCAAAAAACTAAAAATGAAACTGCCTTTTGACCTGGCAATTCCACTCCTGGAATTATACCCTAAGAATCCTGAAATATCAATGCAAAAGAGCCTATGCACTCCTATGTTCATAGCAGCACTATTTACATTAGCCAAACACTGGAAACAGCCCAAATGCACATAAGTAAATGAGTGGATATAAAAACTGTGGTACATTTACACAATGGAATACTATGCAGCAGAAAGAAGAAGGAACTCTTACCTTTTGCGACAGCATGGATGGAACTGGAGATGATTATGCTAAGTGAAATAAGCCAGGCAGTGAAAGACAAATACCATATGACCTCACTTAGCATTGGAATCTAATGAACAGAATAAACTAATGAGCAAAATAGAACCAGAGGCACAGAATCATGGAATGGACTGACAATTGTAAGGGGAGGGGACTGGTGAGGACTGATTGAAAGAATGTAAAGGAATTAGTCAAAGAACATGTATGAATGACTCATGGACATGGACAATGGTATGGAATTGACTATGGAAGTGGGGGTGGGCTGGATAAGGGGGGAAGGGGAAAAATTTGGACAAATGTGATAGCATAAGCAATAAAATATTTTTAAAAAACTTCAAACTTTGAGATAGTTCTTGGGGGATAGGTTTGAAAAAGAAATATTCTACACATGTCCTGCAATGTTGAAACCTATTTAATTAACTTGTTTTAATCTAGCCCATTTCTTTTTTCTCATTACACTTATTCTAGTTTGGAAGATGAAACGGTCTTTCCCTCATTTGATTATTCATCATATATTATTGAGCATCTGTGACACAGGTTCACAAAGTACTACAACACAAGGCAAAGTATGGAAAGTGACAGACAGTGTTTTGGAGTTGAAAATAACTTCATGCTTGAATAATCAGGAGAAGCCTAATTGATGTTTATAGTACTACTATTTAATTATGCCATAACTCAAAAATGAGTATTGGTAATTCATGACCACAAATGAACCAAGAGAACCATGAACTCATGTTAGAAACCTTTAACAAGCTATTTCCAAAAAACAAAAACAAAAACCTGCCTAGAAAAGTCTTATTGTGGTAAAATATATATAACACAAAATTAATCACTTTAACCGTTTTTAGTATACAAGTTAGTGGAACTAAATACATTCACAATATTGTCTAACCATCATCAGTATCTATATCCAAAACTTTTCCAGTATGCCCAACCACCCAGGAATTTTAAAACTTAGGGGCATACTAAACTCAGAGGTTTTCTCCAGTCTCAGTGTTCCATGACCCTCATCCCCATATAGACTGTTTTATCACTCCCAGTGGTATAAACACATCTTATACCATTTCTGTTATGATTTATCCATTTAGACATCTGTCTCCCCATTTCTGTGTTATTTCTCTTCCTTATTGCCAATCACAGGAACTAAAACAAGGAAAGCTCTTAGGAAAACATTGCTTAATGGGGGATGGTTGGCATCTGCTGGAGGGAGAAACAGAACCACAGTTAATGTGTTCACTTTCTTCTACAATTCTGATCCTCTCTTTAAGTTTCTTTTTGCTTTATGCTGTTGTAGGCATAATCAAGGGGAAAAGATGATTTCAAATTAAAGACCTCCACTTGTGCCATTCTTGTGGGTGGTGGGGTCAGTTGGTCATTAGAATTCTTTCCTGATTTAATCCTTTAGGTTCTATCTAAAATCTGGAAACAATCTAAAGGCTATCAATAGTAGAATGAATAAACTGCAATATATTTATACAATGGAATCCTATGCAGAGATTAAAATAGTTAGATCTTTACTATGTAGAAGCATGTGGGCAAATCTAATATAAATCATTTTGAACAAAAAGAGGCAGGCTCAAAAAAGTACCTACTTAATTTATGCACAGTTTAAAACCAGACAAAATTCTTGTATAATTATAGAAATCAGAAGAGTGGTTGCCTCTGGGACAATGACTAGGATAGAGCATTAGAGAGGCTTCTGGGGTTTTGATAATCAATCTGCTATGTTCACTTTATAAATATACATCAAGCTGTTTATAGATTTTTCTACTTGTTCTGCATGAATGTTATATTTCAGTTAAAAACTTTACTTAAACAGAGGACTTTATGAATATGTGAAATTTAGCTTGGTGAACTCTCAATATTTAATCTTTCAGCCTATTTTGCATGGACTATGCCACTTTCTGGCTCTGCAGGTTAATCGTAAGTACTTAATCATATGTTTTTATTTTTTGCCCCTCTGCTCATTTTTCAGAGCTTGATTCCCTCTGTGAACTTTATAACCAAATGAGTCATTTCTTACTTGGTCTCTTGCCTTCTGTATAAAGTAAGATGATCTGGCTCTAGATTCTGGGGTCTTAACACATCTACCTTTTGACACCTGGCTTTTGGCCTTACTACTTTGGCAAAATCTGTGTTTGTCTAGATGATCAACTCATCATTCTAGCTTCTGTGCTCTTGGATCATCTCAACTTTTCTTTCAAGGGAAGTCAGAATTCTAAAGATCCCCCTCTCCCCAAGCCCCCCAAGATTCCAGTTCACCCACTGGTTATTTAATCAGATACTAATCTAAATACTGCTCTGAGGAATTCAGTTGACTCTAAAGTAGTGAGATTATCAAGGTGGGCCTGATTTAATCACACGAGTCTTTACAAAGTTAAAAGGGGGAGCCTGAGAGGTGAAGTTTGAGAAGGACTCAGCTGCTTTGAAGATGGAAGGAGTCACAAGAGGAAAATGGCCTGGATGAGCTGGCCCTGTGGTACCCTGAGCAGAGCTTAGTCTAGCCTACTAGACTACGTAGTAGTTCATTACCTCTAGGACTGCGAGGCAATAGATGTGTTAAGATACTAGACTGATAATCTGTCACTCAGCAATTGAAGACAAATGTCTCCCTTCCACTTTCCATAATCTTACTGTCACGTTCGAACATTGGGACTTGTCCAAACCTGGAATGACAATATTAAATGTCAATTTCCTATTCAGTGACCTTATTCTCCTGTTTTAGCTTTTCAGCCTTTAAGTGACCCCTGTATGGGCTTCCATCCTACCTGATTTCAATCTCCATAGATGAAACATTTCATCCATTCAACTTTTTCGCTCCATTTTTCTATTGCCCTACCATTTCGGCGAAACTGTATCTGGATTTTTTAATAGTTTAATATATTTTAATGGCAAACTTACAGGAACAGCACAGAAGACAGACAACATTAAAAACATACTTGCATGTAGGACAACTCGGAAAAGTATAGTGAATGGGTGGAATCTACTGTATGATAAAAATGCTACAAACACCATTTAGTTGCCATCAATAAGAAATTTACTTGTTTTTAAAAATCCAAATTCTGGCATTGTCCAGAAAAATTTAACGGGTTTATTTATATTGTTATAAAGTTGAACTGCTTGAAACTTGTTCACTGAAATACCTTGACTTGCAATGATGCTTATGTCCCCGCATTCATAGTAAAAAAAAAAAAAAATCACACACAAATGAAAATGGAAAAGTGGCCAATACCTGATTTCTGTCCCTTATTTTCCACTTTGCATTCCTATATTTAGATACCTTTTGACTCCATGGGAAAAAAAAGATGTAAAGTTCAGAACTACCAATAACAGGAAGAAGAGATTTTTTTTTTTAAAGAATGAAATGTTTCCCATCATAGTGGAAACACATTCTCCATGTATGCGGCATCCTAGCTGGATGTCTTTTGGCATAATTGTTACATATTTGGCATAAATAGCACACAGGTTGGTGTCTTCAAAAAGGCCAACCAGATAGTCTTCACTTGCCTCCTGCAAAGCACCAGTAGCTGCACTCTGGAAGCACAGATTGGTTTTGAAGTCCTGAGCAATTTCTCGCACCAGACACTGGAAGGGAAGTTTGCGAATCAGAAGTTCAGTGGACTTCTGATAACGTCTAATTTCATGAAGTGCCACAGTACCAGGCCTGTAACAATGAAGTTTCTTCACCCCTCCAGTAGAGGGTGCACTCTTACAAGTGGCTTTGGTAGCCAGTTGCTTCCTAGGTGCTTTAGCACAGGTCGATTTTGCCGGCAGTCTGCTTTGTAGGATCGATGGTATAGGGACCTCTTTACTTACCCTCCTCCTTTGGCTGGAGCTCGGTGAGCTGGAGGAGGCGCTGGCATTAGAGAGCGATGGCGACTGTGAACACGATTCGTATCTGGAATTTGTTCAACCTTCAAATCTGCTCCATCTTTACTTCTTTGTGAATAGGCAAACCATGCTCACTTGTGGCTTTAATGCCATAACATTTATACAGTCCAATCTTAGAGTTTCTTGGTATTGCTGTATGATCTCTCTAGGCCCTTTATGTTGAGAAGAAAACTTTCTACCAATTTAGGTCCAGTGGGACAGAGCAGGAACTGACAGTTAACTGACAATAGACAGATTGAGGAAGAAAAGATAAGATTATGAGGTTTACAAAGCAACTTGATAGGGGAGAGGAAAGGGAGAAAAAGGGCTTCTGTAGGAAAACAAAGGACTTTTAGGGAAGTTAGAGAAAGTGATGTGGTAACAAGCATGGTCATACAGATGCTTTTAGAGAAACAGATGGAAGTGTGACAGTTTTTGCTAATGTTTGTTTATGCAATTTTTTATCTACTGTGAATCTTCTTCCTGGCAGTGAAGCTCCCCTGAGAGGGAATTTATGGCAGCTTTACTCTCCGAACACCCTGCCTTTAATCAGATAAGAGAAGATTCCAAAGGCTGTTTCCACCTCAGCTGTATTTCAAATGCCTTCAGTTAAAATAATGGAATTCTATGCAGCAGAGGGAAAGAAGGAGCTACTACCCTTTGCAACAACATGGATGAAACTGGAAAGCATTATGCTGAGTGAAATAGGCCAGGCATTGAAAGATAAGTACCATATGATCTCACCTTTAACAGGAAGCTAAACAACAAAACAAACAAGCAAATAGAATAAAAACAAAGACACTGAAATAGAGAACAAGTGGGCAGCGACCAGAGGGGAGAGGGAAGGGAATTCAAGGGGAAAAATGGGGAGGGATTTTGAGGAACAAGTATGAAAGACACAGGGATGAGGACTGGAGGGGGGGAATGGGAGGGAGGTGGGGAGACAGGGCGGGGGGCTGGGATGGGAGAAATAGACAAAAAACTGTACTTGAAAAATAACTAAATAAAAATGGAAAAGAAAAATAATCTTCTTTTCTTAAAGAAGATTAAGAAAGAAAAATATTTTTCTTTTTAAAAAGGAAAATAAATAAATAAAATAATCTTCACACCGACTCTGTGGCTCTGAGTGGGTCCCTATGTTAGCATCCTCTTTAGAGCCCTCCCCAAAATTTACTGCCCTAAAAGCCAGAAGGTGAACCTAGCAATGGAGAATTAAGGTTGCCAAAGAAATGAAGTTTGCTAATCAGATGACTTTAAAAGGAGGTTTGCACTGGCCAGGTAGGTCACTTGGTTGGGGCGTTGTCCAGATGCACCAAGGTTACAGGTTTGATCCCTGCTCAGGGCACGTACAAGAAGCAACCAATGAATGCATAAATGAGTAGAACAACAAATTGAGACTTGTATCTCTCCCCTTTCTTCTCTCTCGCTAAAGTTAATAAAAATAGAATAGAGAGATTATCTTCATTTATCTGGTGAGTCTAATGTAATTGTAAGTATCTGTAAAAGTAAAAGAGGGAGGCAGAGCATGAGAGTCAGAGAAAGTGATGTGGTAACAGAAGCAGGGTCAAAGAGATGCAGGTTGTTGACTTGGATGCTGGAGGAACGGAGGCCATAGCCAAGAAGGGCAGGCAACTTCTGGAACCTGGAAACGATTCCAGAAAGGAACCCCGATCTGCCGACATTTTTGGTTTTAGTGCACTGAAGCCAGTGTTGGACTTCTGACTTATAGAAATGCAAGGCAAAATTTTGTTGTTTTAAGACCCCTAGTTTGTGGTAATCCGTTACTGTAGTCTTAGGTTACAAACACAGGCTTATTCCAGTATTCATCATTTTCTCAAATTCCCCATCTTCTCATGCATGCCCACACTCTGCTGATTATCCAACTTCAGAGAGAAAGTGCAGTTATAGGCCAGGCATTTCTTTCAATTTAAACATTTAGATTTCCAGCCAAGATGGAGGGATAGGTAGACACACTGTGCCTCCTCACACAACCAAAATAAGGACAACAAAAATTTAGAAACAAAATAACAACCAGAATTGATAGAGGATTGAACTGTATGGAAGTTGGACAACCAAGGAGCTGAAATAGAGACAACCATCCAGACGGGTAGGAGGGGCGGAGTAGAGCGGGGAGGGGTCGTAGCACAGGAAGCAGTGATACCGGGTGCACAAGGCATCCTGGGTGTGCAAGTAGCGGCTGGCAGACTGTGGGCACTGGGTGGCAATGGGCAGACCCAGTGAGGCAGCTGGCTGACCAACGGTCCCACATTTGCAAGCAGATAACTGGGGAGCTAGACAGACAGCGCAATCCAGGGTCCTAGCACTGGGAAATAAAGCCTCAAAACACTGACTGAAAACAACTGCAGTGGTTGAGGTGCAGGGAGAGACTCCCAGCCTCAAATGAGAGTTCATTGGAGAGACCCACAGGGTCCTAGAACGTACACAAGCTCAACCGCCTGGGAATCAGCACCAGAAAGGCTGAGTTTGCTTGGGGGAAGTGGCGGAAGGGACTGAGGTCTGACAGAGAGCAGAGCAAGTGCCACTGTACCCTCTCGGACCCCGCCCCCACATATAGTGTCACAACCCAGTGACTTGGGTTGTCCCGCCCTAGTGAACGCCTAAGGTTCTGCCACTCCTATGTAACAGGTGCAACAAGGCAAAAAAGTGGTCAAAATGGAAGAACAGATAAAAGCTCCAGAAATAACACAACTAAGCAACCAAGAGATAGCCAACCTATCAGACGCATAGTTCAAAGCACTGGTGATCAGGATGCTCACAGAACTGGTTGATTTTCCTTGCAAATTAGATGAACAAATGAAGGCTAAACTAAGTGAAATGAAGAAAAATGCACTGGGAACCAATAGTGATGGGAAGAAAACTGGGACTCAAATCAATAGAGTGGACCAGAAGGAAGAAAGAAACAACCAAACAGAAAAGAATGAAGAAACAAGAATTCAGAAAATGAAGAGAAGCTTAGGAACCTCCAGGACATCTTGAAATATTCCAACATCCAAATTATAGGGATACCAGAAGGGGAAGAGGAAGAGCAACAA